CAGAACTGTACTCGGAAACTGTAACTCTCGTCTCCTTCACAAACTGCGGTGTCGTCTGTGACACTCCAATTAACAATATATTACCAGTTGCAACTACAGGCTTCTTCACCGCACCATTATCGTCACAAAATTCGGAGTCAGACCTTGATTTCACATTTAGCTTACTACTAAACTTTGTCAGTTCTTCACAGTTCGCCCTTGTATGCACTTCTTGCAAACGTGTAAAACACAACCGTGTTTGTCTCGCAACTTGTAACCTATCTGTTGGCGATGTCACACGAAGGCTGTTACATTCGCTAAGTTTACCTGGATTACTAGACACGATAAAGCTTTCTCGATATCCGCTTCGTTGAGACTCTTTCGTCATAAATGATTAGGGTTAGCTCTCAGACTGCTTTATTCTAGGGGTGAGATGCAATATACTGGCAAACTTGCTCATAGATTGATTGACGCTATCTTTTACCAGCTTCAGGATATCATCGAACTTCGGCCCAATACCTTCATCCTATATACAAGAGATTATCTTCGTCCACTTCCTTTGCAGCCGAGTAGGTAGGCGTCTCGCTATTACCTCTAGGACGGAACCTGAGTTCAGATCACTCATGCAATTAATCGAAATCAACGTATTCTTGTAAGTCATCAGACTATCCACAAACTAAGATAGTGCCTTGGAGTCATCTTGTAATTGAATACCATTACCTTTAACAGCCTCGAATACATTCCTTACAATCATCGTAGGTCTTCCGAATCTTCGACGCAGTATACTCATAGCCTCAGAGTGTCCTACGTTTAGAGGCATGAACTTACAGCACTGGATAGCTCTTGAAGCAACTTCAGTGCAGTACCTCATCAAATACAACAACTCCACTTCATCATTTAACAAAAACCACTCAACATGATCTCATACTCTTTCACAAACTGTGGATGGTCAACTGGGTTTCCGTCAAAGTACCGAGGCTCGAATTTAGGTGATTTTAAACTCTTACTATCCCTAAACGGCGAACCATGAACAACAGACTCATCATGCCGAGCATCATACATATCATTACAATTAACAAGCAACTCGGCATTACTTACTTTCCTGCTTGCTTCCAAGACGCTCTGTCCCTTCTTTGACCCAGGCATCACTGAACTTGACTAAAATTCCAGAAAAGTTCTGGATAATACTTGTCCAAAGAAGACTTGCAGGCACCAGGAAAGACGAACGGAAACTATTCATATACTATCGGAAACTTCAGTCAAGTCTCATAAACTGTCAATGTCCAGCTCTTACTACGCTGGACCTCACGCTGTCCCTGGAAGATATTCAGAAACACCTCGTATTAACCAACGCGAAAACCAAAACACAGGTTGGCGACTCGAGAATCCTATATTCCTACGCCAATGTGTAGCCAACAATAAGGTTATTACACACAAGATCTAAGAATGAATGTTATAACAATGAATCACGATATTACTTCTGATAGTTTTCGATCTTCCACTGAACAGCGACCGATGAGACGATGACTGTCGTATTGATGCCTCCGCGAAAATTGGGGAAGTTGGTTATGAGCAAACAACCATGAACTGATCGTTCAATCTTCAACTGCATTGACAATTTCATTCTAGTTATATGTTTTGCAACCATGTAATTTTTCCAGAAATAGAAGTTATAAATTTTTTTCTGCAATCCGGCATTCCTCACCGCATGAGTGTCATAGAAAATTTATCTGATGTAGTGAATATTTCGAATCATTATGATCGTTCCGTTGGGTTCCATGTAGTACAGATGGCTTCAACAACACATCTCCAATTCCTTCCATTTTCTGCTGCCGTGTTTAGCTGGGCCCAGGATTGCCCATAATCTCCCATCCCCTCATCTCACGATCTACTCCATGTCACTCTCACATTGAAAACACACTAGTCGATCTCTATTCCGATTCCGCTCGACTAATAGACTGGGGCGTGATGTCATTCAGTGGCGTCGTCATAGTATGTTGCATCCATCTTCATTTTTCCCTACGTTGTTGAGCAATAGGTTCTTGGTTCATCCTTGTTGTTAATTTTTTCCGCCATCTGATCCTCAATGGGGAGTGAAGGGAGACTTTGAAAAAAGTTGGCAACCTGTTGCAAACACCCTTCGTGACAATCTGGGAAATTTTCCGACTCATAGAAGAAGTGGTTGACTTCACATTGGTGTTCAAACTCCAAATCTCGTTCTTTGTGCTGGCTGAGTGCAGAAGATTCTAAAACTGATCTCAGGTTGATGAAGGCGCATGTTGCCTCTCTGATTCTTGGTGGCTTTGCCTAATCTGTGCCGTCACCTGTGATTGAAATAGTGCTTCCTGGATAAATGATGAAAGCAACCTCTATTAAATCTCTCCCGTTGATGTTGAATGACTGTTTTTTTCTTGCTGTTGGTTGGTGGGTATCTTCATCATCTCCATCTATATGTTCACTTGCAGTGCTGTCTTCGCCACTACTTTCGCACTCTTGAGTTGAGCTTGTTCAGGTTGGCGGAATTCCGCATTAAATGCATCTTTTATTCTCTCCAGGACGGCTTGGCCGAGTATTTTGCTTGGTGTGAACAACAGCATTATTCCACGCCAATTGTTGCAGAGGCCTCAGTAGTTTGACAAGGTAGCCTTTCTTCCAGTAGGTAGGTACCTTCCCTGGGGAATTCAGTATGACTCTGCTGCCTTCCCATACTTCAGTAGCTTGATCTCATTCACAGACAGGCAGTTCTGTGCGTGCTGCTGGTTTGAGACATGTCTGTCAGACGAAATCTATGTTAATTTGCGTGCTTTCTTGTGCTTGTACATGCCAAATCATTGAAGTAGCAGAAGTCTTTCGCATTTCTTTGGCAATATCGACGGCCTTTCCAGCCTTGTACATTGTGCGGAATTCCACGTCCCCATTCTTACGTTTGCTCCCATCGATAGAAGACATCCGTTGACTGGCTTTTCGAGGGCTTTTCCCAGCCAGCATCACTTTTTCCTAGATTCCAGCAATGGATATGTTTTTTTGTGTTAATTGTTGTTCTAATGTTCTTTTTGTTCGTTGAAGTTCCTGAAGCAGTTTCACTGACTTTTCGAGCTTGGGTCGCTAGCCCGGAGCATAAACCTCCCTCTTTTCTGAGCTTGAGACCGGCTGGAAAACTAACGAGCTAGTAAAATGGTCGAAGTCGCTTTAACATCTGTTGATGTTGGATGGATATGAAGTTAGAATCCTTCTTAATAAATTATTAACCGCTTGGTTTTTGAACCTGTGTATTCTCAGAATTGTTCCCGAATTACGGTTAAGGTACTAGAGAAAGACTGCATTTTGTGGAAAAGTCACATAATAGATTAGTTAATCGGCACCCCTGTTACCATATTGGTAAATAAGATAGCAGAAGCGCCATAATCAAGATAGTCATTTATTACTATCTACGTGTACTCCCTTTCTCGTCACGGACTTAGATATTTGTCTTGTCAGATTTTCCATGTCTGTATGCCATCACCACTAAAGGACAAGTGACGTTCATCAGCCCCTAAATAGTTATTTTATTAACATTTCCAAAGAGTAGTCGACACTTTAGAAGTGACTGCGTTATATACAGATTATACTGGTTTCGTTTATGGTATTCGCAGAGTTGATGTTTGGAGTCAGCCAGTGTGAAGCTCTTTTCGCTTTTAAATTTTCCTAACACTACCATAGTTTCAAAACTGAAAACCAGCGTTTCTATGACATATCTTACCGTACGGGGTCGGTCTGTAATCACGGTACAAGAAGTCAGAGCTGCTGCTACGTTCTGATGTGGAAGATAATATTATGGTCTTCTCGTGCATATTTTCAATTCTTTTTCCGCCGAATCAGTCTCATAAGATAGACGTTTATGGATTATTGACAGGTGTCTCCGTATCTTCGTATGTATTCATCAGAGCCACTCATAGTGGTTATTTCGATAGTTTTGTATATATTTTGCATGTGTTACTTTTTAGTTCTTCTGTGCCATTACATTATCTGCAACGAATTTTGTCCTGAACAGGCGGTTTGCGAGGCACTACTTTGTCATCTTCCGTATTCCAGTGGAACCCGTAACAACCCAAAACGCCGCCAGTAACACACCCTAAAAGCCCGAATTGTAAAAAACTCTTAGATGGTTGTTAATCAGCAGTCATAATAACTTACATGTACTATGGACGATTGGATCCTCCTTTTGCAAGTGTCAACCGGAAATCTTTATTCCATAAGAGTTTTGCTACATTTCCTCATTTCAGCCATAAATACTGTGACTCGGAATCCAGGAAGACTTCTTCAAATCTAGTGCTTTCGGTTTTGAGGTCACACAATCCATCACCATAAATTTCATTAAAATGTATACGGAATACATGGCCTTTCTCCCTCACCAGTTACGTGATAAATTTATACAAGAATATCATCTCACATTCTCTATGAATAATATTCCTATTAATTTACAGGTAAGTCGCGTAAGATGGCAGTTGTGGTATCTTCAATGTCCTGCCGGCATATGACACTAATAGACCTCATCCCATCCTAAAGTTAACAAACATAGTCATAACCGGCCATAAGAACTCAGATAATGTATTCCTGTGTTTCCATCTGACACATAACTTCATATGTACGTGCAAGCATTTTTATAGCGGGTGTAGTTGGTATAAATCTCATGAGAAGTATTCGTTTAGTAAGGTAGCAGCATAATATGAGGGGCTGAGTTGGTTTAAAGACCCATTGACAATTTATTGTATCTCTGTTTATATCTACTATTGGTTTGTTATTTCTAGTGCTTATATTTGAGGGTGTCCAGTCTGCGTATCTGTTGCTCTTCCCTGTATATCTGATTGACTACTCCAGTATTTTTTAGTGGATCTGTCGCTGTGTTATGACGTCGTGGCTTCGGCTTAACAGCGACATTCTCGGCATTTATTATGAAATCATCTACAGAACATATCAAAATCAAACAGATCACTGTCTAATAGGGTTACGACAGTAGATATATAAACTGAATCAAATCTTCGATGAAACAGAATCAGTTCTTGTCATCAAGGAGTGAAGGCCAGGGAGGCAGTAATTTCACAGGTTTGTTTCTAGGTCACTTCATTTCACGTTGGATATACGAGACTCAAGGCCAGGACCTTGACAATTGTTTCAAGATGAAGATTCGCATGCTTTCAAGAAATCCCTCTGATTTCCGCAGGGAAACAGCCGATGATATATTTAAAAGTATGTATCGTAATAGTTAAGCCATATGTGTTTAGTTCCTAGGAATCAGAGTGTCGCAGAACACCCATTCGCTCCGGAAAGAGAATATGTTAGGGCCCTAAATGCTGCGAAAATAGGGAGAATGATGGCCAAGCCATTCTTGGGAGCTCTTGAGGGAACCAATGAAAGAATGACAGCACTTTCTTTAAACACAGAGACCCTAGGCGTGGCAGTGTTTGGAACAGCTGATGGAAAGGTTTGTAACTCATAGGTTTAACTTGACTCTGTATTACTATAGATTCAGTACTGGGATATTGCGAAAAGGAATAGAATATTTGAGGTCCCGGTCCATGACAGCGAAGTTCGAGGAATCTGTCATTTCAACAAATCTCGGCTGATGTATACTGTAAGTGAACAAAAATGTTTTAATTTTTTGAGAAAGCCCTATGGTTTTTAAGTTGCATCACTGAGTATTATCAGTGCACTTTGTATGCTGACGATGTTTTACGGGCGACGATGATTAATCAGAGTTTTTCACCAGGCCCTGTACGTTCTTTAGCCTTCAAGACTAAAGGTCAGACTGCTATATTTGGTCCTCAAAAATTAATTAAGGTTTTCAGTCTAAAACCTCTAGTAGTTTGGTTCATTGGGAAGTGCCTGATGTGTAGTTTCTTCGACATTCTATTAACTAGTCAGAATATTGAAAGTGGTGTGCGCTGATGAGTTCTAACACTATTGAAAACTCCTTGCATTTTCCGCTTTTCTAAGTGCAAATTTTTTTAGATTCCACATTTGCAAAGTCAGTAAAAGTGGTTTTTTAATAATAGGGACAAAACGCATCTTCAACCTCATTTCAATTCGCCACTGTTAACATTTTCCGTTTTTATTGAAGGCATTACTCCAGATGAAAAGATCTACCTGACATCTTCCTCATGATCCTCGGTTTTTAAGGACGCGATCATTGTGATTCTGGAATAAAAAATCAAGTGCTGCTTAACGATCACTAGCATTTACATGCAATTAATAATGAGCCACACTTGTTGTGTGACGTACTACTTGGCTACCGAAACTTTAGTAGGTGGAAAGGAGTTCGAAATTCATGGCCAAGTTGTTAAAACTTGGGGAAATAAACCGATAAACTAAATCTTCACATGGTTTTAACCAGAAAATGTTTGTCATTGATTGATTTAGTAGTACGCCCACACTCGTTTAAAGCCTTCTTAAATAGTTTTCTACCGTTATTCTCATAGATGTGTTACGACTCAACGGATAGACCATTAGTTTGAACTTTATTTCTATTTTATGCATCTCAGTATGCGGACTTCACTCATTCCAACAGACACAATTGTAACTGGTTAATACATGCAATCGTACTGTACATAAGAGATCCAAATCTATCATTTCATTTTCTAAAATTAGGATATCTTATTATGCAATGCCATTTATCTTACATTTTCCCTCAATTTTTCTCTACTAGTTTATCCATTATTTCGTTTGACCTTAATTATTTAATAGTGCATTCTTATGACTAGACTTAATAAGATACACTCAGCATAAGTCACTATTGCTCATAATCATATCATATGATTATGAGCAATAGTTTGTGCTCAAAACGTCATCAGTTAGTATTACTGCACAATGTATGATTTATCAAAATAAAATCTTATTCATAATGGAGTTATACTCTACCACAGTGCCCAAGTTTTATACTAATTTCTGTGACCTGTTTGGATAATCAGCTCTTTTATCCTAATTATAGACCGTTTGGTATTTTACCATTAGTTTGACATATGTTTATTGTGGTTTTGTCTTCTTCTACTTGCGTTATTACCACCTATATCATATAGTACATATTATTCTGTCAATTATCTAATCTCTTCTGTGATAACTTTGATAAAAGTATTGCACTCTGCACCGTTAGGTCCAGTCAATCGGCAGTGTCATTAACACCCACAATAAGCTTCTCATACTTCTGAGTACTATATGGCCATTCATGTGTTTGTTGAGTACTTTTTTCCAAATCACCTGTCAGTAGAAGTATTCTTGTAATTCCAATATAGGTAGATTTTGTTTTGATAAAGTCTCACAGTGTTATACAGTAATGTTTACTGATGACGTTTCGAGCACAATTTATTACTACTCATAATCATATCAAGGTAATCAAACGACTAGTAATAATAACATAAATAAGAGAGAATATAAGTCATCTACCGTTATACCATATAAAGAAGGGACATCTGAGACCCTACGTAGGATTCTGAATAAAGCAGGAATTAGGGTAGCATATAAACCTACAAACTCACTCAGGTAGAACAAGTTCTGCAGGTTAAAGGATCCACTTGACCCAAATTAGACAAAATAATATAATTTACAGAATACCCTGCAATGACTGTGAGGTCACCTACATAGGTCAAACTAGTAGGTACGGGGTAGTCAGATTGTCAGAACATAAGAATTTAGCTAAGGTAAGAATGGTTGACCCCACATGAGAAAATAAGTAATTTGGAAAAAAGTTCAGCAATTGCAATGCATGCATTAACACACAACCACACACAATAGGATGGGAAAGGGTTAAAATTTTAAAAAGTAATCTAGATAGGTGGAGAGAGAGGTTGATTACTGAATCCTTGTTCATCGAGTCTACACCCAACACATGCAATAGGGCTGACTCATCATTCATACCTGAAATATGGAAAATACTACTGCCAATCAAATCAAGTGAAAAATAATGGAACTATATAAATAAAGTTAGGAAGTTGTGTGAGTAGTGCCTTGATATGATTATGAGCGGCAATAGATTGTGCTCGAAAGGTGGTCATCAGTAAACATTACTGTATAACACACACAGTGAGACTTTATCAAAACAAAATTTACCCATAATGGAATTATTCTGTACCACTGCAGTGCACAAGTTTTATTCTTATTATCAGCTAAGTATTCTTGTCACTTAATATAGCTAATAAGTAAGATCGTTGTTTCATCTATTGAATGTAGACAATTTACAAATGAGACTAAACAAGTATTTTTGTTTTATTGCCTAGGTAATCCTAATACTGAAAGTTGCAAAACTGTTCCAAGAGTTGGTCGACTTAAAATCATTCGTTTGTATGAAGAATTCTTACGGTAGACTGTCTTCAAATTCGCTGCAACTTCCCAGGGAATTTAACCAAAACACTGTGTTAGGGCTGTTAGCAACTACTAACATAGAAAAAGATTTTCAATTCTATGGTGCATGTACATTACATGACTATTTGTATACGATTCTGTGTCCTACCTACCTTCTTTCATTTCTTCTCTACTTTTTCTCAATAGAATGTTTTTATCTAATTCATGTTTCGTTGAAAATATTTTGTGTGTATTTTCTGTTGTCTACTTCAGTCCTTTTGGATTATACTATTAATAATTCTAAAAAGGTTTGCTATTTGTCTACGCAATTAGTAAATATGTGCTAACTAGACTATAAAGTATACTTAAGTTTTGTAAGCTAAACCTTGAGAGATAGTGGGGCTAATTAGTCGAAATAGCATATATGTGTAAAACTTTGGCACTGTGGTAGTAAGTAATTCCATATTAGTTTATTTATTAGATGTATCACACAGTGAGTGAAACAGTATTATTATTTACTGGATGACAAAGTTTCGAACAAAATTAATTCATTGTTCATAATCATATCAATTCAATTCACTTATGAATTGAAAAGTCAGGAATGGGAGCTTACAATGTTAGATTGCAACGTAAAAAGGAAAGAAGATGGGAAGTTAAACACACTAGTGTGTTTACAGGAGACCCGCACATTCAAACAGATATTTGGATTTCTGATCATCTCCTCCCATGTCGATAAAAATAGGATTGGTGAAATGTTTAAGTGACAGAGCACCAAACTAAGTAGCACCAAGAAAAATATAAGACAGGAAGTGAGGCATATAAGAGGAGCTTTGAAACTTAATAATTACCCTGATAAATTAATCAGAAGGTATGTAGGGCAATGTAAAAATAAAAATAGAATAAATAATGTTAGCGGTGATGGTGATAATAATAATAATAACATTAATGACGACACCAACAATAAGGAATCTAAATGATTAGTAGTAATTCCATACAAGGAAGATACCTCGGAAACCTTACGCAGAATTCTTAACAAGGTAGGCAGGAATAAGAGTGACTGGCATTCAAACCCAGAAACAATTAGAAACAAGCTTTGTCGGTCAAAGGATCCTGTGGAGCCCTTAAAACAAACCGATTTAGTTTATCTAATATCCTGCCTACGCTGATTATCAGGTCAAATACATAGGTCAAACTAGTAGAACGGGGGCAGTTAGACTAGCCGAACATAAAAACCTAGCAGCGAAATCTAGATTGATTGAATCAAATAAGATAAGAAATCTAGAGAGTAGTTCAGCTATAGCACTACACGCAGTTACACACAACCATACAATAGGATGGGTAGGATGACAGTTTTAAGATCTAATGTCACAGGGTGTAGGGAGAGATTGATAATAGAAGCTTTGTTTATCGAATCAACTGCAAATACATGTAATAGTAATGATTCAAATCCTGTTCCAGATATCTAGAAAATTTTACTACCCCTACGACAAATAGGAGAAGAGAAAGAAAACTATCAAACTCAGGTTTCAAATTCGTGTGATTACAATTGATCTAATTATGAACAATAAATTTTCTTTGAAACCTTGTCATCCAGTAAATAATACTGTTTCGCTGTGTAGAGTGGATCTTCAATCTTGAGGCAAGTTAAGATTGATGTACTCTGTAATAAATTTGTGTAATATGATAAATCCTTATAATTTTGCATTGGTATAATCAAGAGGAAACGAGATCTTTGAGAACTGTGATGACAGCAAATGTACAGAACTAACAGTATACAGAGATATAAGACACAAAGAATGGTAATATCGAAGAACAATATAGTTTTATTTGGCATTATAAGACACAAAGAGTGGATGCATCTAACAGCGCCAGCCATCACTGTGAACGATTTTGAGCCATATCACCGATTGTCTTCAGTCATTGGCTTTTACCATCCGAGGTCCTTAACCAGGAAGTCTACATCTTCCTACATGGCTTAAACTAACTGCTGTGGATTTCTTTGACTGGTGAGGCCATGTTTTGGTTTGAACACCACTGGCTCCTTTCCAACTTGATCCATCCTATGTCAGCTAACATCACCCACCGAGGAAGGCGATGGCTAGGCATGGGTAACACATTTCCTAACCATCTCAGTCGATGTAGCTTCACAGCTTCATCCTTTTATACCACCACCTGACATGGGAGATAGAACGCAGGCACCTATGATCAAAGACAGCTGGCTAGCTAGTCTTTTTATGTCTTCCACTCTCAAGTAACTTTTAGATAAACACCAAAGAGTATGATACAAGTCAACAACTATCA